GTATCAAAATCTTGGAGCTTTCAAACAAGATGAGTTACATCGTCTAGAAACTACAGCTAGTGTTCTTGGGGTCCTTCACCGAGAATTTATCGGTGATATGGAAATATTTGATAGGAAAAATAGACAAGAATTCTTTAAGATGAAGTGTTGTTCTCTCAAGACAAAAGACCTCGACAGGCATTATCATAGGATGGCACAGAGGTATTATGTTCTTAATGGGTACAATGACCCAAGTCTCAAGAATACCTATGTATCCTCTCTACCACAAGAACTTCAGCCAGAAATTCATAGAATGTTAGCTACAACACAAAAGGATATTAAAACTATGAATCTCAGCCAGATTCACCAGGTGACCTTAGAAGCACTTGAAAAGCTTTGCAGTTTTCATCATCAATTTTCTGAAGTTATAGAACAAAAGTCAAATTTCACCCAAGCATGTAAGAAACCCTACCTGGAGATTAAGTGTAAAGACAAAAGGTGTGGTTGTTCAACAAAAAAGAAACATAAAAAATACACCAAACCTCACAGGATCTTCAAGGGAAAGAAAAGAAAGAATATGAAGTTCTTTAGAAGAAAACCTTTCAGAGGAAAGGGGAAAATCAGAGATGCTTTATTTGTGGGAAAAAAGGCATTTCTCAAAAGAATGTCCCAATAACACCTATAAAGCCGCAAAATTGTTAACTCTCTTCAACCTCTAGAAGGAGACTTAGAATATTTGTATTCTGAACAAAGCTCTGCTGATGAAGAAACAGTTTTTACCCTTCAAGACTCCTCATCCGATGAAGCATCATTCTCAGAGTCCGAAGATGACAGATATCTTCCGGTTTACTCCATCAAAGAGATAGGCAGTTCTCTTCTGACTACACCACTTCCTTGTGTTGAAGTCCATATTCTCACAACAAAGTTTTCCCGTCCGAAGAAAGTTAGAGCTTATATGGACACTGGGGCCCAGATTACCATGATGAATCCCAACATTTTCCTCCAGAATCATGGGTGACACATGCTGCATACTTTGTAGAAGCAGATGGAAAAGTTTTCAAGACAAATCTAATGACCAAGGAGAAAATAGGAATTAAATTCTTCCCAGACTGCATAGTCTGGACCAAGGTCATTGGCAGTAATCTTCCAAACAAAGATATTGTGGTAGGAATGAATGTCTATTCAGCAGCAATTAAACTTCAAATTCTCCCCACAGGAATCAAATTCAAAAGAGAATTCAAACCCTATTCTGGGATACTAAAACTATATTCACTTTCTAAGGTTCCTGCTGGCTATGAAGAAATCAAGTCCAATCTTCTCAGACTATGTGCAGATAGCCATGAGAAATTCCGCCACCCAAAACCTCTATGGAAGAATAAGGACTTCTTCATTCAACTTCCCTTTAAGCTCAATGAAGATGTTAATCCAACCAAGGCCACTCATCCAGGGATGAGCCCATCAGATTACGCCTTAGCTAGGGAAGAATGCAACCAACTCCTCAAACAAGGTTTGATAGAACCCACTAAATCAGAATGGGCTTGCCAAGCATTCCATGTGGAAAAGAGATCTGAAAAGCTGAGGGGAAAAAAGAGGCTAGTAATTGATTACAAACCTCTAAATCATTTTCTCAAAGATGATAAATTTCCCATTCCAAAAGCTTCGTCCTTAAATGTTTTCATCAAAGATGCCCAGATCTATTCTAAGTTCGACCTTAAGTCAGGATTTTGGCAATTGGGTATCGACCCTGATCGCTATAAAACGGCGTTCTGCATTCCTAACGCCCAGTACCAATGGACCGTGTTACCATTTGGGCTTAAGGTAGCCCCATCACTCTTTCAAAAAGCCATGACTAGAATTTTTGAGCCCATCCTCAATAGTATCCTCATCTATATCGATGATGTGTTATTGTTCTCAAAAGATGAAAAAACCCATAAACAATTATTGGGCCAATTTCTTCAAATAGCCCAACAGCACGGAATGATGCTCTCTGAGAAGAAAAGTCAATTGGGACAAACAGAAATTGATTTCCTAGGGATGCATTTCTCCCAAGGGAAATATCAACCTCAGCCTCATATTGCCCAAGAACTATTAAACTTTCCTGATGAAAATCTCACAGTTAAGCAAATCCAACAATTTCTTGGTATAATTAATTATATCCGAGATTTCCTGCCGAAACTGGCGAGATACACGAGTCCTCTATCCCAAATGTTAAAGAAAAAACCTCCACCATGGGGAACACAACAAACTGAAGCAGTGAAAGCCTTAAAGAAAATCGCACAAACTCCTCTTGCTCTAAAAATCCCAGGGAACGGGAAAAGAATTCTACAGACCGATGCCAGTGATCATTATTAGGGAGCAGTCCTGATAGAAGAAATTGGAGGAAAAAGATACTATTGTGGCCATGCTAGTGGCCAATTCAAAGAAGTTGAAAAACACTACCACACCACCTACAAAGAAGCCCTCGCTATAAAGATGGGGATCCAAAAATTTGACTTCCACCTAAGAGGCTATCAATTTGAAGTCCAGATTGACAATTCCTCTTTCCCTAAGATCCTTGAGTTCAAAAATAAGATGCCTCCCGATCCTCAAACTCTTAGGCTCAAAGATTGGTTTTCCAGATATGATTTCTCAGTAAGACATATCAAGGAAACCCAAAATGTAATCCCAGACCTACTATCCAGACCCATGAAACCCATCCAGATCATCACAGCCAAGCACACTTTCCCTCTAATTCTTATGGTCAAACCACTACCAACCCATGCATCCAAAACAAAGAATCTTCCTCCAGGAATAACGACCTCCTCTTCACTGTCCCAACTCAAGCAGTATGCCAGAAACAGTCTTTTCTATTACATGACAAAAATCATAAGGAATAAATTACTAGATCATAGTCGTTATTTCCCAGATACACCTTTTCTTCTGCCAATTTTAATAAACCCAAATGCCAAATTCACAAAAAACCATTTGTGGTATATTTGGTGTGCCACTTGTCTGTATTATATGCCTGTTCTTATTCCCACTGAGGCCACGTATCAACATATAATGGATCCCGAAAAGCACAAGTCTTTGATTTGGACCACTCTTGAATGGTATTCTCCATTACAATGGTGGAGAGATTAATTAAAACCAGTCATCGACGAGGTCAACGAACGAAGATTATCTTCAGAAGATATTGGTAAACTCAAGTCTGTTTTCTTTCTACACAGGCCCTATGTGATAGATCCTGCAACTAAGTTGCTCAATTGTAAGAGTTATGTTCGTCTATGGGAAACCATTAATGAATGTCCTCCCAGTCTAAAAATCACAAGGGAATTACTTGAGTATGTTAACTACATCAATCTCTATGATCCAAAGAAACTCGATGATCGTTCAACTTGCATACATCATGAAAAATTCAAAAGACCAGAAGTTGGAGAAAGCTCGGCTCAAGCCACACAACAGAAACCAAATTCTCTAGTGGAAGCTGAATTCTCGGAAGGACAGGTGGAAGAAGCTAACATGAGGTTAGGGGATCACTCCTACATGATGGAGGACATCTGACAGTGTGAATCATCTCGCTATGGAGATTGCTTTTCTGACGAAAATTTATCTGATCAGAATATGTCCCCCTCTCATGAACCAATTTGCAAAGACTAAATGGACAAGTGTCCTTCAAAAATGAACAAGTGTCCTTCAAAGATCACAAGCATGCTTATGAATAGTAAACTTTTGTCTTTTTATGCAATAAGACTACAATAATGTAATCCATTAGAGATATGTGTGTCGGACTTTTAAAAAAGGCATTTATATAATATTATAAATGTCATGCTTGTAAATAGTGTTGCTTTTGTCTTATATGTACCTCCTTGGCTATAAAAGGAGGGATCTTGTAACATATTTTCATGAAGCAATCACAAATAAACTCTCTTGTGTGCTTAAGAATAAACATGTTCTAAAAATCTCTTCTTTCTCCCTCAAAGCTTTAGTTATTGTATTCATATCATAATTCCCCTCAATGATGCAAGTATGCTCTACACCTGCCTCTAAATGAGGATCTTGTGTATCAGAAAACATCCGACCATTGATCCATACTACGGTCCTTACTGTTATGAATTTCAGTTTTAATTGTTAGTCCATGTTATGCCTATAGTTGGCTATTGGAGGACGATACACTTAAGGCTGGGTTTCATGGCATGTAAGGCTCCCAGACAGTTTGGTATCAGAACCTGAACAGAAAAGAAGGGGTGCATATGGTATGAATATAATAAAGAGAGTGAGTAAGGGAGAAATCACTTAAATATGAAAACACCAGAACCAAACACTCAACCTATTACCACTACTTCTTCTGTTTGATTGCTCTTTAGCTCTGAAAGTTTGGGATCTTATAGGTGTTTGGATTGCTTATTTTGAGTTATTTATAGGACCCCCTTAGAAGCGTTTTTTTTAATCTTGATGTAGGTTTGTATAAAGAAATACTAAGAGAGGAAAAGTTGGAATCATTTGGTTGGCAGTTGTTTGGTGTCTATGGAAAACTAAAAATGATATCCTTCTTAACGATATTGTTAACAATTTGAATGATATCTTTTAGTCTATTAAATTATTAGTTTGGAAATGGTCTGTTATAAGAGAAATTTCTTATTCTAACTTTAATTTTCTAAATTTTAACATGATGCCGCTTAATTGTTTATCTTAATTTTTGTTGATTTAGAATTTCTCCTTTTTTTTTTTTTTTGGCTTGTATATGGATAAGAATATTCTTCTACTGATGTATTATTTTAAGAGAAAAAGTTTATCTTTTCAAGTTGTTGAAATTCTAAAATATTTCAAATACTACATCATCTAGGAGTGAACCATATTAGAATATTCCCTCATTATATCATATAAATTAACTAAACATATTGTAACACTAAAAGTACTAATACAAGTGCACAGCATTAATATCCATAAGACAAAGTCTTAGTACACAATTATATAAAACATAATTAGAGACAAGAGTATGACACTCAAAAGCCCTACACAATAAAAACAAACACACTTTCTTTCTAGTAGGGAGAGACACCTACATTTGCTTGTGTGAAAAACCCATCTTTCATAATCACGTCCTCTGAGTCCTACACAATGAAAAGAATTTTAGGTATTAGAAACCCTAGAAATAAGTGTTATGCTTTTTCATTCAATGTGCTGCCAAAAAAGAAAAAGAGGTAACAGTATATAGCTAGCTAGGGTTTTCAAAGTACCTGACGAACATTAGCTTTCTTCACGGGTTGATGATCAGGCATAAGTCCGAAATGAATGTGTGGAAAGTGGGCCCACTGAAAAAATAAATATGGACCCCACTTATGAGAAAAGTCTTTTTAACTTTATACAAATATCAAAAAAAAAAAATATTATTAATCTTTTGTCAATAATATGAATATTGTAAATTTGAATATGTGATATTTTTCGATTCAGTTGATTATTGTGCAAAAATATCTAAATGTGCAAATTCAAATCTGTGATATTCTATTTAATAGATTTTTTTAATTAAAAAAATAGTAAGAAAGGTAATTTTTATATTGTTAGTAGTGATTGAAAATAATCTAAACTTGGAAAATGTACTTAAGAGAGTAAGGTTAAGAATTTTATTGGATCTCACATTTTTTGCAGCTGCACTAAAAGCCTCTCTGTGACTTATATCAGGATTTCCAGCTTTGATACGTTGAATCTCATCCCTGAAATTTAAATCATATATTCTGTCAATTTCATATAATAGAAACAAAAAATAAAAATCTAACAAACACTGTTCACCACTAAAATTAAATGAATTATCCACAAAAATTTATACAAAACAGAAAATAATATTCTACTTTAAATTAAATATCTCAAATACTATATGACAAAATGAAATACATATTAATTTTATCTCCAATTTTTTTATAGATATTTTGTTTATTTTTCTAGTAATTTATAGACAAGTTTGACAACCATGCACCAAATGTGTAAAAGTATTTTCACATAACAATATCCTACCAATATTATTATGTTTGAAATTGAATTTATGGACACTTATTATTTTTAATAAAAATTCAATTTATAATAATAAAAATAAAAAAAATTAAGGAAAGATTTTATAGTAATACTTTTATAAAAATATCTATGACCAAATTATATAGAAGTTTCAATTTTTTTCTTCTAAATTCATGTCAATATATAAATTTTTCACAAAAAATTAGTTATTTACTAAATTTTTGAAACATGTAAAAAAAATCTTTGAATTAAAATAATTAAACATTTGTGAAAACTTATGTTATAAATAATAAAAATCATATCAACTATAAATCTTACGGTAGAAGTTATTATCTATATTTCTTTTCATAAACACAATTTATTTTTTAAATTTATTGAATGACCGAAATTTATTATTTCTATTATGCAGTATTACACATCCTATTTATAAAAAAAAGTTTACTTATATACTTGAATAATATATAGATAATATATATAATTATTAAGTAAATATAAAATGTAAATTTTTTTTATAAATAGGATCCGATTGAATATTTGATTAATCATAAACTATGAATTAATACATGAGTGGTATTAAACTTACTTAATGAAGCGGTTGTAAGCAGATGGAACTCTCTGTCTCTTCTCCGGAGCTGGACAAGCAAACACACGGATATTACTCAGGCAAACAGACAGGAGCATTAAATAAACATTGCTGACCTTATTTCCAAATCTGAACCCTTCTTTCTCTCTCTACATTTTCTCTCTCAATATTTCCATCATTACCTCATCATTATCATTTTTTTTCATTCTAGTGACAATCACTCTCTCAATGGATTCACCACTTTTTTTCCGGGGGAGATTTCTGTCTCACTCAATGTTTGCATGTAAGGAGACAGAAAACATAGATCTTAGAAATTTACATTTTTCTTTTTAATATTTTTCTTTGATAGTTTCTCAAACCTAGATTTGGAATATGGAATAGTGTTTCTCCAAAAATAAATATTTCAGAATTAGGGTTTGTGAAATTTTAATTAGAACTTTACATTGATTGATGTAAGATGAAAAAAGCAATGCATGAGATAAATGTGCTAAAGATTGTTCTTTCTTTGCTATTTGCAGAATAGTATATAGCAGAAACATAAACACTGTTTTATATTGAGAAGTGAGTTTTTGATAGGGATGGAACCTTTTTTTTTCTTTTCTTTATTCATTGGTTCAGTAGCACAACTACGAACTCAAAAGATGTGTAAAATGGACAGAATTGTTTCAGGTGTTTTTTCTTTACATTTCAGACCTTTTCCATTGTGATAATAAAAAATAAAATAAAAAAACATGAAAGAAAAATTGAACAAAAAAAATGACATTATATATTTGAAAAAATGGAAAAAGAACATTCTGTTATTGTACTTTGAAAAAAAATCATGATGAGAACAAATTATTCAGCAATTGAAGAACATAACAAATTCTTACGTCGGTTCGCTGGAGGAGGTTTAGGGATTTCTTCATGATGTCCTCCTCTCATCATTGTGTTCATCATCAAATCATTCGGATTCGGAAGCTGATTCATCATCATGTTTGTTGAAGGTGCATTTCGAATCTCCTCCTGAATTGAAAAGACGGTTAGGTTAAGTTAAATTAAATTAAATTAAATTAGACCTAGTTTGTCATAATCAAATTTAGTTTCCAATTCAAAACCTAATTACCAAAATACAAAACAAAAAACCTAAATATTTTTATATAGAAATTCAGAAAACACGTGCAAGCGCGAACGCGCACACATACACATACCATAAGATTTTGAGGATTGAAGAAGTTGTGTCCAAGATGAAACTGATTAGCAGCAGGAAGGAGCAAAGCGCGCATGTTAACGGAGAGAAGGTTGGTGCAATGACCACATCTGACTGTAACAGTCTTGAACAAGCTTGTGCAAGGAACACTCACCTGAAAAACACGGAAAAGAAAGAAAATTAAGAGAGCGATGATGAAGAAAAGAGTGAAAAAAGAAGATGAGATAAGGTAATACCGCGAGAACAGTGTCACAGAAATTGCAATGAACATAACAGAGCTGGTCGGAAGGAGAGAGCTGTTGCTGTTGTTGCTGGTCCGGTGAAAAGGAAGTTGATGATGAAGAGGACATGTTTTTTCTTTTCTTTCTTTTCTTTGTTTTTCTCTTTTTGTTGATTCTTCACTTTCTCCTTTTCTGAATTCTTGATTTTATGATTTGATTGATGGGATTGACTGATCAGTGTGAAGTTTTTTTGGTATGTGATAGACAGATAAAACACTTCCTATGGATCTGATCCTCTTGTTTGTTGAGTTACTGTTGTGGAAGGGAGATAAATATGAAACTAAATGAGAGAGAGAAACAAAGAGATCAATGCTACTTAAGTAATAAGGGATTGAATACACCTAGAAAGTCTTTTCTTTTCTCTCTCCATTTTGTTCTCTTTTGCATAGAATATAGTATTTTTATATTACATGAATAAACACCAATTAATCAAACAAATATTTTATTTTAACCATCTATTTGATGACTTAATTACTTAGTTGATCATTTCTTATATATCAAGAAAGGTGTATAAATGATAAAAAGAATGGTATTTTTATCAAAATATTCATGATAAAATACTGTGTATTTAGAATGATAAAAGTAGTAACGATTAAAGAGTATAATTGAAAAAAATTATATTGTAAATAATTTGAATTGTTAATTTTGTGACACTTTTTTATAAATGAATAACTCATTGTAGGTTCGATTAAAAGAAAAGTAAAACATGACTAATGATTTTTATAATCACGATTTGAATTTGAATTATTTCAAAGTTTTATTTTTAATGAAGTTTATTATATTAGTGTCTGTTTTGATTGACGGTGGAAACAATTGATTTTAATAGAATTAAGTTTGATAGAGTTGATTTTAATATAATTGAGTTTGACAAAATTGATTTATATATACATAAATTAATTTAAAAGTGAGTTGAAAAGAAAATTTCAATAATAGAAAAATCATGTTTAAATTTAGAAGCTACAAATTTTAATTTATAATAGAATCAATTTTAGAGATAAAATCAACTATATTTTCAAATAACTAAACACCTCAAAATCATTTCAGATTCAATTTTACATCTCTAAAATTGTTTTTGGCCCTTCCAAAAGCCAAACTATGCATGCTATTAGTTTTTTTTTATACAGCATGCCATTAGTTTCTGAAGTTTAATTAATCACTTTACTTTTATTAATATTAAAATGAGACTAATATTGTGTATAGTTTATCAAGTATTATCAAATTGTAGAAATTCTATCTTTTTTAATGTTGTTTTGCTAGTTAAATTTCATGGGCTGAAAAGATCAAATTTTTATTGTGAAAATGGTGTATTGCGGTTCTCAAATAGAATAATAATTTGTCTTGAACGAAGTGGTGTGTCACTCAACTTCGAATTTGGTGTAGTTTGCTTTAGACTTTCTTTCTTTTATACTTGACATTTTGGTTGTTTTTTCGAGTTTTACATCCATTATACGGTTTAATTCATCTTTTCCTTATAAAAAAACAAAAGAAAAGCATAAGATAATGTGGTTCACTTTTCCATTAAGTTATTTTGTTTATTCTTGATTTTTCTGTTTCCTCTAAGATTGTCCTATCTTAAACCCCATTTAAATACCGTTTGACATTCCATAATATAATCGATTTAAAAGTTGTAGAATAATGTTACTTTATCAAATACGCATGTGAATTTTAACCAATTCAATTATCACATTACATTCCTTTCTTGGAAGTAGGTTTTAGAAGTACTTGGGACCTCCTTGTACTTAGATTAATTATTTCTTTGCGTATAGAGATAGTTCATTGACATGTTTGGTTTTATCATTTGTGGAGCCTTTATTTAATTAGGAGGTATTTTTAGGTGCTTTCATTTTTGTGTGCTTTTTTGCCTTTTTAAATTTTTGAGAATGTTTGTAATTGTATGGTGTATGGTTGTATCTTTTTACTTTGGTTTGGTTGAGGATGAGAATCTCTAAACTCATATATATATATATATATATATATATATATATATATATATATATATATATATATATATATATATATATATATATATATATATATATATATATATATATATATATATATATATATATATATATATATATATATATATATATATATATATATATATATATATATATATATATATATATATATATATATATATATATATATATATATATATATATATATTATTTGTAATATTATTTGGAAAAATATATATATTTATGTAATTAACCTAAACATATTATTCAATATAACAAATGTATGATAATATATTTTTTAAATATAGTAGACTATTAATTATAATTTACTTTTTAAAAATAAATAATAAAAATTATAGTAAATTTAAATTTACACATCTTTCATCAAATATCTTTGAAATTTCTGCATAAATATTAATTAACGAGAATACCTTATATTTTGTTTGTAAAAGTTTATCAATTAAGACAAGAATAACATATATGGAATCATTCAAACCTAACTAAATCACATAGTACTATTTTAATATTTTCACATAAAAGTTTGACTAGAAACCAAACCATTCCAACAACACCCCCTAATTAATACCCTAAAGTACATCAACATACTATTATAAGTATATCATTACTTTTTATGAAATAATGAAGTGTCATAATCAAGTTACATCAATCAACCGGGGTCCGAGAAAACATTTTCTTACAACATAACTAACCCTATAAATATTGATGTGATTGCTTATTTCTATGTTTTTTTGGTAATACGTGGTTGCTTATTTCCTTAAGTAAATAATTCTTTTGATCTTCAAAGTTCGAATTTTTTATACAAATGTCACACATTGAAATGGAAAATATCATATTGCCACAAATTGAAAAAAAATTGCAAAAATGACATTTTTTTAATATGGGTTCGTCCATTGGAAGGACGACCCAATGAAAGTCTAGAAAAGGTAGTTGGGGTTCGGCCATCCATTGGCCGACCCTATACTACGTGATTTTTTTTGTTTTTTTTTTAATTTCAAAAATAAATATATATATTATATATTATTATTTTATGTTTTAAATTGTTTTTTATATATTAAAATTATTTAAATGATATTTTATATTAACAAATAAATAATTTAATTATTTTAAATATTTTTTAATATTATTAAATATTCAGATTATATAATTAATTATTTAACTAAATAATTATATAAAATAATAAATTAAATCTTAAATAAAGAAAATTTTATAAATTAAATCATAAAGGAAATCATAAATGATTAAATCATAAATTAAATAATAATTAAACCATTAAATTTTAAATTAAATAATATATAATAATTAAATTTTAGAATTATATAAAATAATAAATTAAATCATAAAAAAAATTTTATTTATGATCATAAAGGAAATTTATTTATGATCATAAATAATTTTCTTTATGATTTATGAATTTATAATCTAAAATCTCCATAGATTATAAATGTATGATCTTAAAGGAAATTTTAAAAATTAAATCATAAAGGAAATCATAAATAATTAAATCATAAATTAAATAATAATTAAATCATTTAAATCATAAAGGAAATCATAAATTAAAATAACTAAATAATCATAAATTAAATCATAAATAAAATAATAAATTAAAATCTTATGATCATAATTTCCTTTAAGATCATACATTTGTAATCTTATGATCATACATTTATAAATCTTATGATTTCTTTTAAGATCATACATTTATAAATCTTTAAGATCATAATTTCCTTTAAGATCATACATTTATAAATCTTATGATCATAATTTCCTTTAAGATCATACATTTATAATCTATAGAGATTTTAGATTATAAATTCATAAATCATAAAGGAAATTATTTATGATCATAAATAAATTTCTTTTATGATCATAAAAAAATTTCCTTTATGATTTAATTTATTACTTTATATAATTTAAAATTTTAATTATTATATATGATTTAATCTAAAATTAATGATTTAATTATTACTTAAAATCATAAATTTATAATCTATGGGGATTTTAAGATTATAAATTCATAAATCATAAAGGAAATTATTTATGATCATAAATAAATTTCCTTTATGATCATAAATAAAATTTTCTTTATGATTTAATTTATTATTTTATATAATTCTAAAATTTAATTATTATATATTATTTAATTTAAAATTTAATGGTTTAATTGTTATTTAATTTATGATTTAATCATTTATGATTTCCTTTATGATTTAATTTATAAAATTTTCTTTATTTAAGGTTTAATTTATTATTTTATATAATTATTTAGTTAAATAATTGATTAGATAATCTGAATATTTAATAATATTAAAAAATATTTAAAATAATTAAATTATTTATTTGCTAATATAAAATATCATTTAAATAATTTTAATATATAAAAAACAATTTAAAACATAAAATAATAATATATAATATATATTTATTTTTAAAATTAAAAAAAAAAACAAAAAAAAAATCACGTAGTATAGGGTCGGCCAATGGATGGCCGAACCCCAACTACCTTTTTTGAACTTTCATTAGATCGTCCTTTCAATGGAAGGACCCATAGTAAAAAAGTGGCATTTTTGCAATTTTTTTTCAATGTGTGGCAATATGATATTTTCCATTTCAATGTGTGGCATTTGTGTAAAAAATTCTCAAAGTTCATTGCCCTTGACTTATATATAAAAGTTTAAATAAATATTAAAAACTATACCAATAAATTTTAAGTCAATCTAATCTGATATTTTTAAAAATTATTTAAAGATAAATTCTTTCTATTACTTAATACGAAATTAATTTATAATAATAATAATAGATGAAAATTAAATATTATTTTTGATTAATATTTAATAAAATTAGAGAGATTCATTGTTGAATTAGATCCCAATTTGACCTGAATATTATATTTGATTTAAATATTATGTTAACAAACAATTTCTTTTAATTTTAAATATGTGAAATATTATTATTATAATTATAATATATTTCAAATAGAAAATATATTCCAATATCTTCTTTTTAATTTTATTATTGATTAAAGTATTTAAAATAGAATAAATAAACTTAATAAATTAAAATAACTAATTAAAATTAATTTTATGAATG